TTTGCGATGTCCTCTATTTTCCACCCAGCTAAATTGCGTAGAGTTTGAATTTGTATTCTCTCCTCATAGCTAGCTTCTCGAGTTTTTACTGCCATATTTGCCGGACTTGATTTTTTGTTGGAAAAGTTGTCCGAATAGTTTTAAAAAAATATCGACATCTCGTCTAACATTTTACTCGACCTCCTATTTTTGAGTGCACTGACATCCACCTCTATCCCAATTGAACAACCAGGCTACTCGATAGACTTGTAGCAAACTTACTTCAATAGGCAATGCACTGCAAAGTGGACTGCCTAGACTGCCCCCTGTTGCATTGGCCGAGCTCCGCCCTCCAGCCCTGCTCAATTGCAATATTTCATGGCATACCCGAGTACCTGGTATACGTAGATATAGACTAACGGGACCTCACACCACACGCCCCATTACCAATTGCAATTGAGGGGCATGCATCACGTTGTGAAGAATATGGATTCTGGAATTCGAATGTACATGTCATGCCACATTTTATACATATAATAAAACCAATTCATAACGTAAAAGATCGCCAATTGCCAAGTACGAATTACTCGTAGAGTGTTGTTGATCTACCCTAGGTACAGGTCGAGCTAAAGTTAGTCCACAGCTGCATGCATCACATCTAAAGTGGCCTGACGGCATTAGACTAGGTAGCCTGACACCACTCGACTAGGTAGGTATCTCGACCACAAATTTCACGTGCAATGATCTCGATGGGTGTATCAATTTGCAAAGCCCCAGCTATATTTTTCAGCCAGACTCGAGCGATCCAAATCTAAAGAAAGAAAATCCCCTTGCCTTTATTTATTCCAATATTTCCAAAAAAGAAGCGTAGCTATATATAGAAAGACTAGAAACAGACAAAACATGATTAAAAGCAAAACCACTACGTATTAGCCCTGCTCATACCTCATGCCCTACCCGCGAACTGAAATCTCAATTTCAATCCATCAATATCCATATATCAAATTGGAAACAAAAAAAAAAAAATAAAAACAGTAAAAAAAATATAAAGGAAATCAGAAAGGAGGAAATAAACCCAGGCCCCTTTCTTTTTTCGTTTATATTTTTCTTTCTTTCTTTCTTTCTGTGGCACCGAGCTCCCTCCCTCCTCTTTCTCCTCCTCAAGCTTCCCCTTATGAATCGTCGCATGATTCAAACATATACATTCGCCCAGAATTCCATCCATCCCATCCATCTCATCTCACTTCCTGGGGAGGTGAGACTAGATAGATTAGGTAGATTTGGTAAACCTGACAACACTCCACTCACTCACTCCCCCCTCTTCATCTTCCTCTTCCTCATCACTCACTCACTCACTCATATCCATCCACAAAGATAAAACGTGCATCCGTCTTAATTAGTCCAGACAAAAACCAAAGTCGATCCGTACGCAGCGGGGACATTGTCCTCCTTCCAGCGAAGCTTGTAGATGCTGGAACCAGGTGCAGATGGGACGATGTAATACTGTCCGCTGTAAAGCGTGTTCGGGGTGTTATAGCCGAGTGCAAGCCCTCCGCATTGTCCTCCGCAGTCACGGCCAATGACGGTGTGGTTGTTCCAGAGGATTCCGTTGTCCTGGGGAGAAAATCAATATTAGCATCAGGTAAAGATATAATTGAAGAAAAGAGAAAGTAGGGCAGCTGCATAGTAGCTACGTAAAAGGAAAAAGTGGTGTGACTCGTAACATACCTTGGGAACCTTCTTGGCGTACTTGAGTTGGTAGTAGGTGTGGAGGGCGGGGGGGGTTGCGGTATCTGGGCCAGGTACGGGGACAAGGAACGCCTGCTCCTTCGTGACGGCATACATTGGGCCTTTGCGCCATGGGGAGCCAGCGTCGACGGTGGGGTCGGTGATGTACTATATAAAATTCAAGAAAAAGTAATTAGTAAATTGATCCCCAAAGAATATTCCTACTTCCACATCTAGGACATTTTTAGAGTTCAGCAGGGAAGAAAAAAATACTTACACTCTGGAAACCGGTATATCCGATAGTCTTATTCACGACAACTTCTCCAGAGCGTGGATCGATCTCGGCATAGTGGCTCCATGCGTACCCCGGGTTACGAGGGTGGGTCCAAACCCTCAAGGGGAACCTTGGGGCAGTGGTATCTGGCGGAGTTGGGGTACCCGCAACGAGGGATGCAGCGAGCGACAGGATGGCAAGGCCTTGAAAAATAAAAGACACCATATTTGCTGATTGGGGGGTAATCTGGAAGATTCCGATAGATTATGAACGAGAGGTATTGGAGTCAAAAAAAACCCTTTGAGTAGCGAAAGACTGGTACCGGTGAACTTGGTGGAGAGCAAGAAAAAAAAAGACAAATCCAGTGAGGGTATGATGGACTTTTATATTGAACTCCAAGCTCCGGTTGGGAGGGATAGATGCACTCGATTAGGCCTACCATGGTAGCATCATCATCAGGTGAATTAAATTATGTACATGTTGTGATACCTCGATACGAGCCTGGATATCAGGTTCGACGCAAGCCAGTCTGGAAGGCCCAACCTGTTTGGTCACTGACTGCCACTGCCGAGTGCGAAGCACTCGAGTAACCCGAGAGTCTATCCAAATCATCGAGGCTACCGAATTATCAGAACACGTATTAGCCCCGTTCAGTCCAGCAAAATTGATTTTTTGACCGAGCTAACAATGTCGCACAAGAAAACATGCCAGCTAGTTGGATGCTAGGCAGCCTCGAACCGATGCTGGGGACAAGGCGAGGTTGGGCGTGTGACATGACGTTCTCGACATTCGCCCAGAGGAGGGTCTGGGCACGAGACTATCGCCATCCAAAGACATCACCTTTCCGATTATAGTAATAAGTCCCAGGGCCGCTTTAAAATCTATTTTTATCAGCGATATTTCAATGAACAAGCAAAAAAAAAAAAAAAGACATCAACAAATCGAACTAGTCTCGTGCCAATCGAACGGACAGTGACAAAAATAAATTGGGTATCGCATTCTGTGTTGTCACCAACTAATAGGTTTAAAGCCTCGGTTACACCAGGCACTCATGAGGATATCGCAATCGATCCAGGAATAGACACGATATCACTCGTGTAGACATGTCAATTACGCGAGGGGTATTCCGATTGTTGGATTTGAGACAGATATGTGAATATTTTGGGCCTGTCGAGAGCTCCCAAAATCGAAATCTCAGAAACATATCGGTTGGAAGGTAGGTATTGAACCAATCAATACCCTTTATTCTCTCCTTCCCCGCCAGATCCATTTCCAACTCTATTCCACTTCTTTCACCAAACCACAACCAAACGCCAATGTACCGAATATCGGCTTAACTGGCGAAGAAGACCCCATGTCAATTTTGTCTTGGAAACTCACACTCACGAGTTCTCTCCAGTGTAAAGGGCGTGTTTACATACAAAGATCTGTGTTTTGGAGTCCGTGGGACAAAGTGACAAGGGGTCTTCTTCGCCAGTTAAGCCGGTACATTTACCATTGCGTGTCCACAATACACATCCTTCCCTCCAAACTTTTGCATTGGCTCTCAATCAAATGCGATCCCAACGATGGAATTCCCAGCCCAGTTGACTCCGGTAGAAATATCACTTCCTGGCCCCCTAGCCCCCTAGCCCCCTAGCCCCCTGTGAGTTCGAGACAGTCTCCTGTGCTGAAATTTAAATAGAGTATTTCATTTTGGGCTGTCCAGGGAGCGGTGCCATGCCTGAGGCATAAGTGGTAACATATAGTGCCATGGATCCCAGTACCAGGACTGCTAGTCCCCATCCCCAGACCCTCGGATAGGAGGACTGTGTATGCCGGTGATGCCTTGAGTGGAGACAACAATCGAATCAACTAAAGTAAGGTGGGTGATTGAAAGAAAGGAGAAGTCCCAGCACCATGCCTTTCTGGGATTGAAATTAGTAAAATCCTCCATCGGCAAAGATGGTCAGGAAATGGCCCCGCAGAGTACCCCGTACCCCTCGGTGTCTTTGTGCTTGATCACACGAAGGGATGGACATGAGAATTTGTGTATGTGGCTGGCTCCAGCATTGAGGATGTGGTGCTTTGTGGTGTTGTGTGGTGCTGGTGGCAGGAAATGGAAATGGAAATGGAAATAGCTTACATTGGGCAAGCTACTTTCCGCGGAAGCTTCCTCTAATTCTTCCCCAGCCCGCCAAGCCTTCCATTCGCCTATTTCGTGCTACACTGGGCAGCAAGGCAGCCTGCCGACTGAGTAACGCTCATGAGTAAGGCCTCGGCCGGGCAATTCCCTGGAGCTCTACTCGAGTACTCAGATAATCTAGCCCACAAGGAGGAATCTCTGGACTTGCGGTAGCCTCGAGACGAATTGCGGAAAGGCGCCGCCTCAACACTCCAGCAGCACTCATCACTCCACTTCACAGTTCCTCCTCAAGTACTTCAATCACTGAGGGCGAGGCTGCCTCAATCATGGCAAATTCCACGGGGCGGACAGAAGATTTGTACCGGAAATAACTGTGGACGTCGCATTAGGATTGTCGAAGCCGATGAGGACCCGGGCGAATAACATGGCGGGGAAGTCGACGAGGGTTCTGGTGGATGTCTCCTGATGGAGGGGTGTGTCAGTTCTTAAAATAGATCACAAGGGTCGCACATGGCGGGGCCATACTCAAGTGCGAACCCACACAGGTGCTGCAAGGTTGCTTTTTCGGCCACGCTTGTCCGAAGTCTCGTAGGCTTGACCCGCCATGGATTTTTCTTCCAGAGCCCGAGACCAGGCTTCATCGCGTCCCTCGGCCCAGTGTGTTCCCGCACTCCGCCACGGGCGAATATCCTATCTTCAATCTCACAGCAATAAGGAGTGGCCTCCGATATCGGAGAATGTTGTCGTCGCAGTGAACGAATGCACCGTCGCCACGCCAAGCGGCATTGCAAACTATAGGGGACCTTGGGGGCTTGATCGGTGCATTTCTTGGCAGGGTTCCTGAATGGAGAAAGCAAAAAGAAACAACCCTATGCATCGCAAAAAGGATATTATTGGCTGTGCACGGAATCGAACCGCGATTGTATCGGCCACAACGATACGTGCTACCATTACACCACACAACCTCAGAATATCGAAAATTTCATTGCCAATTTTCAAGACGCGATAAGTCTTAGGCAGTAACGTGCGTTTTGCCAGTTCGCCAGAAGGTTAATACTTACGAGAACATAATTACCTATAGGTACCAGTGCTCTCGTAGGTACCAGTAGGTATCCAACATCCATCAGGTTATTAACACCCGGCTAAGATTTTTGCTCGGTCTCGTGCCTCTGGTTATACTCGAGACTATCATGATCAAGTTGGAGATTCGGGGTAACGAGAGCAAAATACGGATATTCATAAATTAAGAAGTAATTGTTCGAAAATGAGCTACCAATTTAAGTACTTTAAGTAAGTACCTAACTACCTAGCGTATTTCAACAACCTACTCGGATGTATCACTCGGATGTAACTGTTCTCGTGCCGGATGTAACAATTCCTTGTCTTTATCTGCCGCACTGTCCTGCAACTCATGATCAGAGACATACACGAGACTAGAGAAATATATGGATTACAACTTTCTACATCTTGATAACGTCATGACCGTGGCACTAGACACCGAAGTGTTTTGTTGTATATTCATTTATTCTAAATTGTCCCCGATCTTTTAAGTACTTCTTTCACTCCCAGCACACTTTACATGAAGCACCATGTCTTGTATTCCTCCTCTGGCTTCCATGAGGAATTGTATACAAGATAATCTTGACAATTCGTTATGTGTAGGTAGCCTGAACCTTTGGTTCGATACTGCCAATCTTCCGTCGTAAATCATGTCCTTGTCTAGAATCGTACCCAGACCCTCGTAGGTCCTTGTCTGAGCCGAGGAATTTCCTATTCGGGAATTATCCACGCTACTTCCTTTTGTGTAGTCTTGGCACAACATCCTCCTACAGAGGCCTTTTGTGGTAGCTGTCGCCCTTTTCCAGGAGGTAGTCTCGTGACCAAACCCTCCACTTTAAAGATCGAACTGGAGCGACCAAGTCTGGGCACGAGAACAGATCGAACTCCCCCACTGTTCCCGTCTCCCAACACCCCCACCCCATGCCTCATAGAACAATGCCTCATCCACTTTTTCACTCCCCGACCCCCGACCCCCGACCCCCGACCCCTACCCTCATACCCCCTCCTCTTCGGCCGACAGGCTGACCTCGACGGAAAATCATCCATCACGCCCAGACACGGAGAGTCATGACACCGAGCCCTAGAGACAAGACCATGTAGAGTCGTTTCCTCCTCGCTTTCCATGTTTTTTTCCATGCTGTAAGCTAACTGGCAACGATAGGGTACAGTGGCATGGCAATGAGGCACCCCAGGACGGCTGAAGTCTGCTGGCTTTGGTGATTCATGGACCTGCACTCATCAAACCTTCACCGCCGCTTTCCCGTGGGACGCATGAGTACTATTCACGCCCTTTCCTCTCCGTTTTGCCTTCAACCTCCGCCGTTCCTTCTGGCTCCGTGGGTGTTTCGCCTGTGTTGGCTGGGCAGCCACTCTTCCTGCTGCAGGCTTGACGTCGGCATTCTTTCTTCGGAGATTCACGTGATTTGACCGAATCAGTCGGGGGTTGATTCTCTGGCGGGCGGCAGCTGGTGCTCGCGGTGTGGGAACCCTTAGCCCAAGCCTCCGTCTGTAGTCAATACGAAGTAATCGTTGGCCCTCAATGTACTGCGAGCCCGAAGGGTAAAGGTGGGAGATATATGGTGGATACCAAGGCCGATGGTCGTCGTGGTTAAGTGTCAGGCGGTTTTGCCGAGTTCGCGAAGTTCGCCCCACTGTCGAAGCGCCTGTGGTTAGGGTCAACGCATGCAGGACCAATAGTACGCCAAAGACTAGGCGAGTTGGTCGTAATTTGGAGGCAATTTTTGAAGACATCTCGATGTGCTGCCGCTAAGGTCGGATATGGTTTGAAAAAAATCGAAATGTGAAAATTTATTTGGAAATTTCGAAGGTTTAAGTGAAAAGTAAGTACTCCGCACCCAGCACCATTACCACTTTGCTGATCAGTCAGACAGAGGGGTTGGTATCAGCCTCACTTTGATTCTTTTGAGGTTACATCGTGGATATCCCTGTTCTGTTCGCGTGCCTCCCTGTTCGATTGTGAGGCTCTTCACATACAATCTGCCGGTCATTTATTCTTATTTTCTACCGCTAGTAGGAATTTAACGCAGTCCTCGATTCATATGAAGCAGGTGTGTAAATGCATCTACCTTTTTTTGTCGGAATCACGATTTTAGTTATTTCAGTTGTAAGCTCAGACTACCCACTGCGCATGGCAATGCGCCAAATATGTACTTCATCTTACAGTGAAGTTCTCATTAATACAGCCCCGAGATGACTTCAGAACAATGTCCACGCGGTACGATATACCACAGCCATTTCTCACATTCGATACTTTTGGTTAGCTCCGATATAATTTAGCCGGAATATCAAGGCACCAATCGATAAAGCTTCTGGGGATGGAATGGAAGCTAACCGGAAACTTACGACTTTTTATTTTTAAAATAATTACTCGATTGTTGGCTTGAAAGCCTATGTCAAGAAACTTGCGACTTGCCGCGGAGACTTTTAGAACTAAAGTATACAACAGCGACGACGATAATTCAAATATGGTTGTTGTCATACCTATATATGTTGTATGTACTCGAGTACCTGCATGAGTACATTTTACGGTAAGCATTGATATTGACCATGGCGCTTGATTTCAAAATTTCAAAGACGAATATGCTGATTGCAATTTTTTTTTTGAGTTTACTGGGAGATACAATTCATAAAATACAAGCTTGACATGTACAATCGAAGGCTTGATTGAAGACGTTTTTCGAAGAAAGAATAGTTTTCTGCTCAACATGATGGCAACAAATAAGCCTCATAAAAGCTACAAATACACCAGAGCATACATACTTAACAAAAAAAAAAAAAAACATAGCCTCCTATGGGTATAACACAACTCATGTGTTCGACCAATGCATGATCGATATCACCACCAATCCTCCAATACCCTTATTTGCATCTTGCCTTCACAATTTCATATAATGAGCTTGAAGCCGCCGAGAGGGGGACTCCGAATTGTCCTTGTCCGTCATGCTTGTTTACAGGACTGTCTGGCTTAGCAGGAGTTGCAGGTGCCTGAGAAGCGACAGCCCAGCCAAATCTTCCTGAATCGCTGTCGAGATCGAATCCACCTGATGTCCACTCGTTGCACCCTTTGCACACGAAGGTCAATGTCCAATGTGTCTCATTGATTCCAGTTCCACAAGAGAGTGGTGTCAAAACTGGCCCCGGAGATGTGTATAGTGGTGGGCTGCTAAATTGACTGTTTCATGATATTGTTGTCAGTACAAATAGATTCAGTCTCGTCATCTGCTAGTACAGCCTGGGATGGAGGAGGAACATGCCTTGCATATCGGAAACTATGCACGATTTCTTCACCATTCTTCCAGGCGACAATGAGGAGTGCTTGCATCATTCCTCCACCAAGACTCAGTCCAGTCCATCCACCTTTCACGGGTCCAGTCTATATCGTTCGATAAGGAATCAGCAAGACATTCTTCTTCTTTTTAATAAAGGAAACTGCTGGGATAATTCCATACCAATTGACCAATGAATTCATCACTGGGTGTCTCGGGAGTGACGATTCCGAAGCTGAAGTCTTTCTGGGCTTGATAGAATCTCTGGAAGGTGATGTTTGTCGAAGGATCTGTGTATGGATCTGCGACTTGGGCATTCACCAAGGTCACCGCACTGGCAACTAATCATACGAAAGGTGTTTGTTAGTATGAACTCTCTGGATGATTGCTTTCGGGCAATAACCAACCAAGTGTTGCGGCAACAGAAAAGAGTGTTGAGAATCTCATTTTTGCGTGATAATTCGTCTTTGACAGCTTCGGAAGACTCGACTACAACACCAGATCTCGTCTACACATCAAGGCGGCGTGGCGTGCCCTATATATATGTTCTGACGACCCCAAAATCCCTGGTTATTAGAGTGTCATTTTATCTCATTACGTTTATATTAATTATCTCTTATAGTTTTTTCGAAATGGTCGCGGCCCGCCTCTCCTTGTCCAAACATGGAAATTTCTGGGACAAACGTTCCTGGTTAGTTGAGTATCCATTCTTGCTGATCTATATACACACAGAAGGCAAGCCGAGAAGTGCTGCGGAATATTGATATAGGTATGTGTGATTCCTTCATGCCATCACTTTATAATGGGCTCAATCATTACAGGATAGTCAATCCGATTCATCCCACTGGCTGGTGAACCTGGGATCACTTTGTCCGAAGAAACATAAACTGTACATGTGGGAGATGGAGGGGAAGCCCATTGAAGATCCATTAAAGCGAGCGAACTTCCCCGTCGATCCCGGCAAATATCGTTGCTGCAGTGTGTGCCTGCACCCACTTATTACAATTATTGATATTGAAGGTTATTAGCTAACGTGCGCTCGATAACGTCAAATGTCAAAAGCACATCTTGGAAGACAATATACGACCTACCGCCATATAATAGCTTCGATTTGCAAAAGCTCGCGCGTCTTCTTAGCCGATAATCCAGAAACTTCATTTCAACTTTCAAGCGACATATTTCCAACTTTCTTGACAATACCAGTGCGCGTGCCTAGGAATGTCAGGAACGTTTCCCTATCACCAAACTTTATCCTAACCTACTTTTTAGATATAGCGGGGGTTCATATGTATATATCAGCAAAGCACCTCCATTTTCTCACAGTTATATACAACCCTAGCTACATTCAAATTCCCTTTAAACAGTTTCTCGGATTACAAACGATAACCTCCTATTGGCCGTGGGGCCTTGAAGAAACCTCCCTGTAGGGTCACTGTGGGGTATTCTTCCGGAATGCTAATCCATGCAAATAAAGGCGTTGCAAATTATTGCAAACGAGCCATTCCCGGTTCCTTATCACGGGTGGGAACCCGCTCCTTGTGCCGAATGGAAGTTGCTTGATGGATCGATCAACAAAGGCTCTTCTTTCAGTTAGCTTCTACCGTTTTCAACTACCGGAA